TATGGTTGCAATTAACTTTGGCAGTTTTCGTGCTAGGACAGTCGTTTATGCATCATTTTAAAGCATTATGATTGCACTTTAATTTGGTATATCATTTGTGGCACAATGTGTTCGTCTAAAAAATGGTCAATTTGATGGATCGGTAGAATTATTGTTCTATGTTTAAAAACGCGGTAATTTGAGGTTCCGATATGGTTGCAAATAACTTTGACAGTTTTCATGCTAGGGCATTAGTTTACGCATCATTTGTAATGGACGTTTATGTCCAGAAACCAAAATATAGGAGAAAATACATTAGCCCTTACCTTACTTTGCTTTCGGTTGTTATTTTGTTTTCTGCCCAATGTATATTAACTTACAAGATGACAATACTTTAAGTTTTGTATATTTAGATATTCTTCACATTTTTTTTTTATTTTTTACTATGCAACTATTTATTAAATATATAAAATATCATAATTGCTACACAATTTTGATAAAATTTGTATTTTTTGATAAATATTTGGTGTTGATGATCATATGGTTCACATTCTACTGTTTTGTTTTGGTTTCTTTATTTTCTTTTGTATTGTTGATTTGCAAACTGGTCAGTAGAAGAGTTTTGTCTGAGATAAATTACAACAGGGTTCGGAAAATTTATTCATGCATATGAAAATACAGTGATAATCAACATGTGAATTATAAATAGTTACGAAACTGTTGATATTAGGAATAAATGTATTTTTTTTATATTTCGTGAATACGAGGAAATATTGAAAAGAATAATATCATACAAAATATAAAATTTTTGTATACCTATGGGTATTTGCATGAAGACTGACTGTTCAGTCTTCTAAGATTGAAGATTGTGGTCTTGGCTAACTGAATCTTCTTCGAGTCTTTGATGTCTGGTAGCTTTATATTTTTCTGTCAAATTTTGACAATAAGCGTCAAGCTTTATTTGACAAAAGATTTCTTTTGTCAAAACAAATAATGTTAAGATCCTTTTCCTGCTGGTGACTGACTTAAAAAGTTCAATTTTTTAAATCTCGGATAATATCCCTCAATTTTGGAAACATCCATGGATATTTGGGGTTGAAAACCATTAAAAAGTCTTTACCTAATTCATCATTATTGCTCCGCAGGTAAATTTGATCAAAATTTTATTCAATTTAAATCAATCCTAACATTAAATTGTCTCTAAAGGAAAATATCGCGGACAAGAGGATTGCTATTCAATAAATTTGGAATTTTGCATGAAAACCTAAAGTTAATTTTACGACTTAACTGCACTAATAAGTGTGATTTCAGAAAATCAGGTAATCTCATTCGAATGGCATTATGTTTAAGTCAATTTTCAATAATATATGTATATTATTTTTCATGTTCGCTTTTTCAAAGAATCACTGAAAATTCTCAGCGAAATATTTCCGAAACCTGTCTGGGGAATTCCTATTCCAAGGAATTCCTCCTGCCTTAGACGATTTTACCTCAACTATACTCAAAAATAACAACAACCATAAGAACCAAACCAACTTCTACTGCTCAACTACTCAACAACCAAAAGAACCAAAACACAATTTCTAAATCAGTGGAAAAAAACAACAAACCAAAACAAAACAGTGATTCCCAACTAAAAAAAAAAAGCTCATAAAAGTGATATGTGAAAATATGTCATACAAATTTTAAAACATAGAAAAGAGAAAAACTACGAAAAAGAGAAATTTCCAAATTCTTATACACTAAAAGAATTTTTTTTGCTAAAAAGATTGTGTTTTCCGAAGGAAAAAATCTAAAATATTAAAGAAAAGATGCACCCTACAGTTCCATGATAGCTCAATATTTAATGATAATGTTTCAAATGTACATAAAAAATAGAAACTTCAAGATTAATGTTAATTATGTCGATTTAAAAATCCAGAAAAAAATATGAAAATTCTTATATTTAAATTTCTTTCTTGATCCTAAAATTTTGTTCAATGTAGTGTTCAAAAGTAAAAGAAAAAAATAACAAAAAAAAAAAAAAACAAAAAAAAGAAAAAAACAAGTACCCTATCATATGTAGCTTCTGCTACACTATCAATTGGAAATTAAATATATGAAAACAAACTAAAAAGTCTCAAAAACAAAACAACAAATAGTAACAAGTTAAAATCGTCACCCTACAATATATATTAACGGTTTAGGTAAATTAACACAGAATAAGAAATTAAAAAAAAATGCACTAGATCTAAAACAAAAAAAAAAAAAAAAAACTTACAATTTAAACTAACTACTTAAAATATAATAAATAACATCTAAAACTATAAAATATAACTAGCGAATCTAAAAAAAATGTAAAATCACAGTAATGCAAGTAAATGTCTAAGGAAAATAAATCTTACTTTCATATGATATAGCGAACCTCGAATTCATGGAGAAGGCCTTCGACAGTTTATTCGATCGGTGAGTAATAAATTTCATTATTTGTTTTATTTTCTTTAATTCTTGCATTATTATTACTACCTACAAACAAACAAACAAATGTATAAAATCTAGTAAAGAAAGCTCAAACCTCATTGAACTTCCAACTTCAATCTAAAGAGAGAGATCGAACATGTTGTAAACTAGTTATTTTTTTTTAGTCTTCCTTTCAAACATGTTGTGACTTATTTTTTGTTACAACTTAAAGAACACATTCACACAAACCCGAGTAAATTACGATCAGCTGTTCGAATAGAGTTCAATGAACTTTACTAAATTTTTTTTTTCATTTGTCTTTTGTTTCTTTCTTTAAAAATTCGCACTATGGGTCAAATCATGTCAAAAAAAAATGTTTGTAATATTTTATTCCGGGTATAAAAGAAATGTAAACTATTCGTATTTAATATAAAAATTGTATTTAATATAAGAATTTTTGTTAAATATTTCGGAAAAACTTTGTTAATTAATCTTTTAGAGATTTTTGTTATACATTTTTTCTTTTGTTTTAAATTTCGATTTTTATATATTTTTTTTTAATATAACTTAAAACTAAGCTTTCAAGTTATTAGTTAAAAAAAAAAAATGTATACTATTTTGTTAAAATTTATAACGTTAAAATTAATATATTGAAACTTGTTGCTAAAATTTAAAAATTTTTTTTAATACAAAACATGAATAAGTTGAATTTAATTACAATAAATATTGTTATAATGATGGAGTAAATTTGCTTGCGTGGTCTTCTTATTGGTAATATGTGAGAAAGATATAGATACGTCTAATTTAGGGGTTCCATAAAAGTTAATTATGCCTATGGAACTAAGGCTGGCGAGGGTAATGAGGCATACGCATCCAAAGCCATCTGGATGACGTAAAAGGCAGCAGAAATAGTCAACTATACTTTTTGTTTTCTTTAAAATTCATCAAATGTAACTAGACATTGGGGCATGTGTTCGAAATATTTTGTTTTGTCTAGTTCTTATTAGTTTTCCTTAGTTTTTTTGATTAAATTTTACGGGAGTCTATAACAAGAGCAATGTCTGGATTGCAAAAGTTAGGAAATAAGACACGAACCCCCCATCCGGCTGCTTGCTAGCATATAAATGGCTCCCTGGTCTTTATTTCCCTAACTTTTGTTAGCAATTGGGGCTCGGAGCTGTGAATACATAAAATCTAGAATAGATATGTGACTATTATACCTTCCAGGAAATTTGTATTGATTTTTCTTAATATATACATTATTAACTTTTATTCACACATAGTCCTTAGTTGTTTATGGGGTTATTTATGGTGAAGTTTAAACTTTATTTGATAGCTCTCTTACAGGTACATTACAAAAAATGGCGCCCAACGTGGGGCCGAAGGAATGGCTCGTTCTTTCTGGCTCTAAATTTGTTTTGTATAATAGTAGATTTCAAAAAAAAATGTGTAATATTAAAATATTTTTCATTGAAACAATATTTAGTATGGAATATCATTTGAGTCTTTTATGGAATTTTAGTTACTTGAAGTTTTAAGATGCGAGTAGACTGACCGATCAGATTACAAGTGACTTTTCCTTATTATATGGAGTACAATGAAATACATTTTTTTATTACTAAGTTCTATAATAGACTAACATAGTTATAAATAATCAATCCGAATTTTAGCATATTTTCATACTGTGGAAATCATATCCTAGCTATCTGCAGTTTATGACCTGGCATGAAAATCAATGGTTTTTGGGAAAGGAGATAAACTTAACTTTGCTAATGGGAAAATTTTTTTTTATAAATATATTGGTCATATTATCGAACTCAATAGACTGATAATTGTTTGCCTTATAGTTGACGTTTTCTTAATGTCTGCCTAAGGTATTATTATTTTTTTTAATATTTCTCACATTATACTTTAAGAAGACCTATTATTGATTTTTGATATTTATTTATTATTCTTGATTTGGAAACCGAATCTTATTTCGTATATTTATTTTTTTTGGAAACATTCATAGCAAACAAAATTTTCCTATTGATTTGTTACGATTATGAAAATTTCTTCTGTTCGAGTTTTTTTTATCAAAAGTTCTATAAAATCGAAATTTAACACTTTGTAACATCAGTTGAAACTTCCATCTTTGGAAATCAACGATATTTTTTCATTAATTAAAGTTAAATAGAAAACATTGAATATATAAATGATTCTTTTGTTTACCAAAACATCAAAATCTTTTGGATATTTTGTAAATTTTAGTGTAGGTTTTGCAATTCATATATTTATAAATTGTATATTTAGTTTAACAAAATTATAAATATTACCTTAATAGTTTAATCACCATCTAAATAAGGAATAGATTTTCGTCTGCCTGGTGTTTAGTTTGAAATTTAATTATTATAGATTTTTCTTACGTTTTTTTATGTAAGAACCTTTTTCCTTATTTACATATTATTCCTTTTGGGACTAGATATATTGATTTTTGCATGTTTGGATTTTAGGATTTGAAACCATATTTCCTATTTTTTTTTATTATTCTTTCTATTTTGAGATATTTAAGTGGATTTTGTTTTAGCTTGAATTTAGTCACAATGGCTACCGGTCCTACATCTCCTCCAACCCCTTTACCACCACCTTTACCTTTGGCTCCGGTCTCTATAGAACCATCGGTATGTCAGATTTGTAAACAATCGATGAGTGAGGGTCAGGCTTGTTTAATAATTAACGAGTGTAGTCATGCTTTCCATAGGACTTGTATAGAAACACATTTGGCCACCTCATCTGAGTGTCCTATCTGTAAACGACATTGTCAGTTATCCGAATTGAAGAAACTTGTAATTCACCCAAAAGGTAGTTTGGCGAAACCCGCCCTTTCAAAGCCACGAGGTGCCATGGCCAAGCACTATAATACCAGAAGCATGAGTCGTAATGTAGGTCAAAACCCTTCTGATATTAGTTATAGCATGGAACA